GGCTCGATGCATAGTGCTCGAACTTTGCTACTCGCACTATATCAGGCGGCATCCATCTTCATCGTCCGTCAGAACCCAGCACGATTCCGACTGAAGCGACGGACGCCAGACGAGTGAGCTCACAATGTGTGTTCCCTCCTCAAACTCCCATTGACGTTCTTCCCGACAAAAAACTCACAATCAGCCCTTATGCCACATATGGGGACGAGAGATCAGGTGCAAGCGTGCTCTGCGTATCGACGGAGGGTTTGAACCTTTCCAGGATCAATTCGACCCTAGGCTCGAGTAGATTCCTCCTCCGTCTTCTCGGCACGCCGATTCGCTCAAGAGAAATTTCAGACAGGGAAATTTTTTCAGGGAGATGCCAGGATGCCCTGTCGGCGAACGGGACCTCTGGATCATGTCAGACCAAATGCCGTCCCGCCTGCATGTGAGTCCAAGTATATCTTGCGGAATCGTATCCTCTCCCTGAACGCGGTTCCTTCCAACTCGAAACTTAATTCCACCAGGGAAATCACATATGATTCACGTTTGAGCGGCCTCACCCGCTTCGCTGTGAACGATAGCGATGTCATGTGAGTATTTCTGCAAATTCGTCGTGTTCCCCGCACGCTTGTTACCGGATTGGGCTCGCATCAGCGTCCGGTGGAACTCGAGATGGCTTCCTGCTTATGTACCTGAAGGATCGAGCCCCCAAACCGGAAGGGAATTTAACCTTGTTCGATCGAGCACCATGGACTCTGGGTTCGCGGGGTAGATCAGGTACCTCTCGAAGGTCAGAAGTCACACAGCATGGAGCAAGAAAATACCTAAGCTCTCAGAGATTCCCCTTTCACAGTCATCGTTCCTCCCTGCATATGTCTTTCGCGTCGTCGAGCGTCGAGCGGCTGAGTTACACGCCAGCGATAGAGGTGAGCTCCCTATGGCAGCTATGTATGCTCTCATCGTCGAAACTGCGAGTATCTTAGAGTTCACCAGCAGCGAGAAGACGCATAGTGCAGAGATGTTTTTCCATCAGTTCGGTAAAACCTGGGCTCAGATCACTGGCATCGTCGGTATATGGCTGGGAGCATCGATCCACCAGTTCGTCGTAATGATTATGGAAGCTGTGAGCTCAGGACTCCCACTCCAGCTCGCTTCCCTGGCGACACTCATGAACCGATGATCCGTCGAAGGATTTTCTAGTTTCTGGCGCATCAAGGGAGGCTCGGAATCTCTGGGTATTGTCCTAAAGGAAAGCGACTTGAGAATAAATCCACCTCGCAAGGAGATAATCCTACGCCTTCTGGCTAATTTATTTCGGCTTGATCCAATCTGGCAGTTTAGCGGCTGCTTTTCTCGACTTGGAGAGCGCGTCCGTCGATTTTCCTGTCATCTGTTCAGCGGGTAGTGCCATTTTGCCGCCTGCCTTCGCACTCATGGCCGACTGAGCTGCTTTGACACCTGCTGCTTGACTCGCTGAGGGACCTCGAGAAGCACCCGGAGCTCCGGCAGGGTATCCTTTCGGAGCCTGTGGCCCAACTGCGCCTGGGGGTACACCCTTAGCGAATCCGGGGGGAGCACCGCCTTGGCGTGCCCCGGAGGCACCACTCTGGGCTCCGCCTGGGCGCACTCCGGCGGCTCCACCGGGATGGCCTCCTGGACGACCGCTCGGAGCTCCTCCGGGAACTCCACTGGGAGCGGCTCCAGGGCGAGCTCCGGAAGCACCAGCCGGATGTCCACCAGGGCGAGCTCCGGAAGCACCGCCCGGATATCCACCAGCTTGCATGCTTGAGAGACGCATCCCGCCGGCCGCCCCGGAAGCAACTCCGGGATATCCTGCGGTCTGCATGCGGGAAAGCCGCATTCCGCCGGCAGCACCGCCCGGATATCCGCCACTTTTCATGCTTGAGAGACCCGTGCCCTGCTGACCTGCTACTGGAGCCCCCATTTTCGAGAGACCAGGACCATATTGCTGGGCCGAGTAGCCTTGGGCACCGCTCATGCACGACAGGATCATCGGCGCTTGCGGATAAGATGAATCTTGTTGACCACCCATCATCGAGATGATCAGCGGCGAATATTGCTGTTGCGGTTCGGGCTGTGGCGGCGCCATGAAAGATAAGAAAATTGGTGGCGGAGCCTGCTGCGGCGGGGGTGCTTGGCCCATCATGGAGATCACAAGAGGCTGTTGTGCTGCTTCTTGCTGTGGTTGATTCATCATTGATAAAATCAAAGGTCCTTGTCCTTCGCCTTGTGGAGCGAACCCCGATAACGCTAGACTTTGGGGTTGTCCTTCTAATCCTTGCGCGTAGCCCATGGCCGAAGGTTCACTGTCGGAAGTGTAGGCCATCGTTTACAAGGTTTCTTTCCCTATGGAGGAGACGAAACTATTCGACTTCGCTCTGCGTTGTTTTCTAGAACCGGATGATTGTCGGAAAGGCCTGCTGATGTTCAGCTCGTGCTCCAGTGGCGAGAATCGCGAGTTGCACGTAGGTTTGTCAATCTCGGATGGAAGTGCGACGCGACATCCCGTTTCAAAAAGAGAATCCTGACGAGGGAACCTAGCGACAGATCATCCAGCATGCCTCTTCGGCATTCATATCAGCGAGCTCATTTTCGAAAATATTACTCGGAATAGTCCAAAGTTCATCCTTTGGCTCAGAGACTTGGATAAGGTTTTCCGTCCAGAGCTCGATATCAAGGCGAATCAACATGACGGTCGGAAACATGAAACGAGTAACAGGGTGTCCCATCGTCGAGGGCTCAAGGAGAGCTGGAATGTTTTTGCTGGAATGATGCGTGCCCATGCCCCTAGGCCGGGCCGCAAAGACGACGGACGACTCGTACGCCCAAAAACGATGATATTACCTCCCTACGAGCTGTGAGGATGTGCTACTGGCGTATACCCTCTCCGGACAGATTCAATTCTTGAACTTTCTCCGTGTGGTTGAGAGTGTTCCTCGTGCGCCCGAGCAGAGGACTGACTGTGTTCTGAAGCTTTCGTGAGATACTCCGTCTCTTGGCCCTATGCCTGAAGCTTTCTCGACAGGCCGATTCCGCTCCCGGCGTGGATGGGCGAAGACAATTTCGGACTCGAATCGGATAGGATGGCTTCGCGTGCGGAAGATAATCGTGAGCGCATGGTATTACTTCCGTTCAGTGAGTGAGGGAGAGGACGCTCCTAGGAAAAGTCAAAATCCCCGGATATGCTTACTAGTGTGTGTGCTGGTCGACGAATCTTTGAGGGGGTTCAACCGTCGATGGTCAAGCAGCAGTAGGTGCCGATCTGCTTGCTGGAGAACTGTAGCTGAGCGTCCATGTTCGAGGAGCTGAACATCGTGGTAAAACAGCACTCTTGGCGCCTCGCACCAGGACTATCAACGCAGGGCAGGTTCTGCACCTTGGACGGTCGCCGGCTCCGGCGCCTTACTTAGCGAAGAGGAATCGAGCCAGCGTCTTGATGAATAAACTGAACTCCTTCGAAGGTTGCATCTATCTCTATCGAGTCAGCCACGTAAGCACGGGGGAATTCTACGCAGCTCGCGGCAGCTCGAGGTTTCCACCTAATTGTAACCAATAACACAGACTAGTTAGTCTTTGACGGGAACTCACTGTTGATAATTACCATTGCTCAACGAACCTTGTTCAAAAAGACAAAAAGTCAATTGAGGCCCTGGAGAGGAATACTGCGAGATTCCGCAGGAGCTCACCAAAGAGTCCAGGGTCGCGTGGGGTTTCCATCCTGACCTATCCAAGTGAATATTTTCGCATGATTGTCGGTCAGAAGGAACGGATGTCAGCACCACTAGATGGATACTGCGAGAGCGATAGCTTCGATCGCTGATCCCCTTCATTGTGACAACACGAGCGAAACCGATAGAGAAGCCAAAAAAACGGAGAAAACGAAACTCTGGGAACGAGTACGAACGCAGAACGGCTGTAATGAAGAAGGAGAAACCGAGGAAAGGGAGATGACCAGACGAGCTTGCAATCGATGGGAGCATAAAAATCGCGCTCTGCAAAAATGGTTGAGAAAACTCCCGAGGAACTCGTTTTTACCCGTATTTCGGAGAAATCTCTCTTCAGCGTAGTTGAGCTTGTAGTCCTGCCAGTATCCGGAATTTTTAGCGCTTTCTAGGGCCCGAATCGGAGTCTAGCCCATTGCGTGAACATTAATGAGCGAGCTAATTCGTTTCGAGATATTGGCTTCCGAAATCGAGTTGGCAAAAACCGAATACACTCGAGCCTTGAACGCATCGTGAGCATCGCCTTCTTTTTAGACTCCGAGAGAGCGGAATCGGAATTCGGTGGCAGCATTCGGTTTGCTTGCATCTTTTTTTCCTGGAGATAAAGTTTGTTACCGTGCTCCAACTTCAGCGATGCGGGAAGGCGCACCCATGAGAGCTCCCCAGCCTAGTTCTGACGTCGCGCGGTCCCGAGAGACATGCGGTTTTGAGTGCGTTTACTCGCTCGCCCGCCCGATCTTCCGTTAGTCGTCCATCCAGCGCTTTGTCAGTTTGCTTGTCGGCGCTTTCGGGCTCACCGTAACGAATCCAGCAACCGTCACAGTCACAACGCTGCTGTTGCCCCTTGTCTGCTGAGGCCCAAGAGAAACACGAGATTAAAACTTCTTTGCTATAGCCAGAAGCTACACACGTAGGGTTAGGGAGCGGCGAACCACGAGGGAGCACCGCAGTTTGCGGGCTCGTCCTCCTAATACTTGTCTGCTCGCCGCATCGCCATCCTGCGCGTCCCACCAATGAGCTCCCGCGAGAGATGATCCTCCCTGAATGACATCTTCGAATATTACTGTGCCAGCAGCCGATGCCTGGCTGGACTTGGTCTTCCATGGTAGTCCCGTCTTCCGTTCCTGTTTCCCGTCCCGCCGAGCGCGACTCACCCGCCCCTATCAGGATCGGTCTTTTAAGCCCTCCATCACGTCGGCCATAAAGATGTTCCTATGGGGCGATGCTGGGATCTTCAACCCATCTATTTATTATAGTTCCGATGGACTACTGGTCCGAGTAAGACCTCAGCTTCCGCCAAAAGAATCATCATTCTGCTCACCTTTAATTCTAGAAGGTGAACACCATCCTCATTGTCTCTCAAAATGTACAGCGTCTACGCCGTGAATCTCGCTCCAGGGCGCTGGTCCAAACGAGAGTTCGCAGGGGCCCGATATCAGTCGGGAAGGGTCTTGCAAGTTAATCTTCTACATCCTAGGACCTCAATGAATCTCGGAATTCTTGATACTTCGGCTCACGGCTCGTATGTTCTCAGAGGGGTCAGCGGAGCGGGGAGAGATGGCCGTCCCGCTGGGACTTCCCTTCCGATCGAGAACAGCCAGTCTATCGATGAGGTGACTGGAGGAATCAAATAGCGATAGAGGAATTCTCTTCAATGGAGGAGTGTGGCGAGCGGGAGAGGGGGGATTCATCCGAGGATCGATTCCTGTCTCCAGATCATGGATCTCCCTCAATCACTGCTTCATCTTCATTTTGCGCGCCTGTCCGTAAGCGATCTCTGCTGAACTTCAGATGAAGGCCCACATACAAATCCCCGGATCTACAGGATGACTTTTCACCGCGCCTGAGGCTAAGCGGTCTCCTAGGGCAGACAGAGGCGTCATTCCACGCTACGGGTCAGAATTCGAAAGTTACGCAGAGTACCGATTGTGACAACAGTCATCTGTTCGCCCCGGAAAACGGCGAAGGGTTGAGACGATGGGGTTCGTTCACGTCGACCTGCTCCGAGCGCATCTGACTGAGTCGAATCGCCACCGCTGATGCATCGTATTCACGTAAACATGTTGGTACAAATGATCGCATGTTTTCCTTTGCTGGGACGGTGTTCCCCCGGCAGTTGAGACTGAGACGAATGTTCGGCCATACCCTGACAATCTGGATCTGGCGACTGAACGTTGTTGGAGGGAGCTCACTCACAGTCTCCGCACGTCGTCATTGCTCTGAGACTAGCGAGGAAAAAGGCCGCTACCACCGCCGCGCCGACGGCCAACGAGTGAGTGAGCCGGGTCCGCAACGGCGATAACAAATTTTGCCGAACCAGGTGTTGCTCAGAATAACAATTGCTTGTGCTGCCTGCCCGTCCGCCTGCTTGCCCGAACACCGTCGTTCTGCCGGTATGTCTGCGTGCACGCTCGTCCGTCCGTTAGTCTGTCCGTCCGTCTGTCTGTCTGCTCGGCTGCCTTGCTATCGTACTTCCGTTCGCCTTTCCCGAGGAGGGAAACGAGCGGCCACACGACAGACGCACCGACTGAAGATCCACACCGATGTGAACAATCTATCTGAGGGGAGCTTCGCTTCTCTCTCGCTTGACCGACAAACATTCGACCGTTGCGGGATCAGCCGAGTGCGATACCATCGACTGAGCGGCGTGAAAACGGAAATCCGCATGGGAATTGTTTGTGTTCGATGAAACCGCTAGGCTCCGCGAGTTGCCATTACAGACGTCCATTATTTCGCGGAACAATCGCCGATCCAGGAATGCAGTACTGATGATAGCTTGCACCGAAAGAAGGAGCGGGCGGAGAAGAAGGATATAACATCTTCATACTTGTGAACGCTATGCCTAATATTCCATGATGATAATTTTGAATAAAGCGACAATCATGAGCTTGAAGCATGAAGATGACTTTGCGTATACCGGTAGGAGCCCCCGGGGCTTTCATTGGATGTCATTTCACGTGGGCGCGAGACCGGACACTAAATTTTCAACTCTTTTCTTCCACATAGAGGGTGATTCCGATTAGAAAACCTTCGCTGACATTTTTTCCCGTCGTCGGGGCGAACCGCGGACGGGCTGTCCGCAGCCGAAAAATAATTGATTTTGGCAGGTCGGAGGATCTCTGGCCCACCGTGCGTACAGGAGTGGATGCGTAGGTGCGCACACCCGCCGGGAAATTCCCACCGGGTTTCGGACTCATTCGAAGTCTGATGGGGGATGAATTATGAATGAACATCTTCCAAGCTAATGATGCCCACCGCCAGTAGATCCTTCGAGTTCGTGAATCTAGGAACCAGTCTGTCGACCGACAGTATTGACGATCCACATCACTCCCGACGATCGTTTGGAGGAGTCTAGATTTTCCGTTAGCCGCGGAGTTTCTGCGGGGAATCTGCTGCATTCAGGCTCAACGAGAGCCGGGTCTCCTGTTCGCAATGCTCCCTCTCCCCAAGTGGGAACATGAGATCGAAGACGAGGAATCAATCATCCGTACGTTTCATATCAGTTTGACGATAAAACATCGACTCCCCGAGCACGGGTAGGTTTAGGATGACAGACATCTATTGTCTCGCGGTGTCTACGGTGAACTTGATACGAGCCATCCAT